CGACTGAAGTCATCTGACTCTCCATCTCTGCCGACTGTTGTGCTCCCCATGCGGTCACTCCCATCAACATTAGGGCTAATTTATTTGATTAATTAATATTGTGCTAGCTTAGGGTTTAACAAATTATTGAAATGGCTGACAAAATTGCCATAAATTCCAAGAATATGTCAATAATTTTAGAAATATTGATGGCTTTTGAATAAGGTCGATGACAATTTAAAGCCATGAGTATAATGTGAAACCAACCTGATGATAAAGCGAGTCCCGCCTCTCCCGCTCCCAACTGTTCGGGAAATACCATAAATACCGTGAATAGGATAACCGTATAGAGAAAACATAACACATCTATTATTAAACGAAATGCAAATTTAGCAGTGGTGTCGAGCATCCAAGTGGACGAGTGATCATCTTGGTAAATGTAAAATTGTTTTTCAAACATTTCCTGAGCCCTAAAGGCCCTAACACTGGCCAACCCATTGAATGTTGTGCTCACGTGTGAGAACACTGGACTCTGGGCTATAAGTTATTATTTTAAAATTATTATATTTTTTAAGTTATTTAAATTAAACTTACTAAATCCTTCAGCCCGTTCAATATCCCTTGCTGATTTGACGTAAATTGCCCTAGCTGCTAAGAGCATTATAATTAGGAAAAATGCTGGTATGATTAAATATGGATTCACGATCACAATCATGATTATCAAACCGATAAATACAGTCGCACTCTAAACAATTATTATGATATACAGAGATAATTAATTCAGTGAAAATTCAAAATTATATTGTATGCAAAATAGTAAATTACCGAGTTTAACTCAAACGCTGTACTTGGCAGTTGCTCGTCAATTGTACCAAGATCTTTTGAAAAGCGGTTTAATATTCGACCTATTGGTTATACAGCAATTATAATTAGCATTATTGATTGTGTTAATGAATTAACTAACCAACTGGGTTATTCTCAAACACATATATCGGGGCCCGTAATACACGATAAAACATAGTGTTGTGCAGATTAACTGAAGCCCTCATAAACATCACAAACCATGTGATGGTTCTTAATAAGGATGCGATGAACAGCGCGGCCATCATTAAGGAGTAGATAATCGCATCCCTGTTCTGCTCAGATGTGTTAATATTATCATTATTTTGATTTTTATCAGTCCTATTGTAAAAATAGATATTTGGATGCATAATTGATGATGATAAATTAAACATGCTTAATGATGTCAATTTATTCACCATTGTGTTAGAAAATAATCTGATCCGTGATATATAGTTTGAGAAATAATCGTTATTAAAAGCGTGGTAGAAAATAGTAAAGGTCCGGCGCCTGCCTTAATAAATATCAAATATATTCTGCCCGATATTGAACCCCTTTCCCAGACCTCGTCATCTATTTTCGGGTCGTTGTCCTTAAGAATAATAATAATAATCTATTTATTTGTTTATTTAAAGTATGTAGGTTACATTTCTAATCGTTAAACTCTTGGTCACTGAAGTTCTTTTGGATTTTATTTGATTGTCATAACTGTGTTGTGAAAATGTAACTTTAGTGTCCGGGTCCTCACTATCCAGCTCTCCCATGTTGTCTGCGGCCTCTCTCTCCCGATCGCTGAGAATAGCCATGAAGTCTAAGCCTCGGGACTGGAGCTCATCATAGGATCCCAATCCCAGACACTTTCCCTCGTCGTTCAAAACCAATATTTGTGTCGCTTTTCGTATGAATTGGATTTGATGTGTGACTAGAATACGGATTTTGTCGCACAAGTAGTCGACTATACATCTGGTGTTNTTGTCGCACAAGTAGTCGACTATACATCTGGTGTTCATTATATCGCGAATTCATTATATGTTAGACTTATTTGTAATCATAATTATAACAATCATTGCATTACTTATCAAATATATGTTCGGCAACACTAGTGTCGACAGCACTCAACGGGTCGTCCATTAATACGATGTCTGAGTTTCGATACAGAGCTCTACATCAATACAAATCATTGTAATTATTTGTTAACAATTGTTCGTTAATATTGTAATTTAAATATAATAATCTATTTTTAGCACAATTAATTTATGAAAAATGTGGTTTATAGAATCGCACGGCCCCTCCCTATAGTTTATAATTGCATGCACCCAAACCTGGCTAACGTGATGCGGGCCTTCTGTCCGCCCGACAGCTGTACTCCTCCCTCACCGACTAATGTCTTGTCTCCGAACGGGAATATCTCGAAGTCTCGCTCCAAAACGCACACCTCTACCACTCGCTTATATCGGGATTCGTTATAATCGGCACCAAAAAGTATATTATTTCGGACACTAGTATTGAAACTCCAGGACTCCTGACAGACATAGCTTATCGATCCCACCGTTTCTATACTCCCCGACAGAAGCGGCAGTTCTTTCAGAATTATCATCAATAATGAGCTCTAAATAGTTGTGAATTAATTATCTATGAATTTATTATCTGTTATCCAATAGTGTTAATAATGTTCATACCTTTCCCGCCCCCACCGGTCCGATAACTGCCAACAAATCTCCGGGTTTTAAACGTGCCGTAATATTTTGAAGGGTTGGATACGGGCTTTCCTATAATTAGTTCATATAATAAATATCACGTTTAAATACACAAAATATTATTTCATACATCACTCCATTTGGCTGTTATGTTATTAATGGACACTTCGGGCGATTGTTTGCCATTTGTTTTATTTTCAAATAATTCATTTGTGTTTTCAATGGCTGTAATTTGTGTTTCACCTAATTGTAAAATTGTCTAAAAGAACATTAATTAAATGTTTCAATTATTTAACCTATTTACACCATGGTCAATTTTACTTGTATTCTATTACAAGAAACTAATAACTCGGCGCCAAACATGACTGACATTGGAAAGTACCAGGTCATATTAGTTCGTTCGGAACTGAATAGCATAATTGACACAAATACAGTCTTAGCGGTCAGTACATGACCGGTGAGTACCAAGATAATAAAACTAGGAAATAATATCAACTTGGGTGCAACGCTATTCAACGACATATTGATTGCCTTTAGAAAACAAGACCTCTGTATACACGACACCTCCGCTCTAATTGCGTTGGAAATTATATTATGGTATATAAAAAATTGACAAATTGTATCAATAATTGTCATTTACTTCCGGTCCTCAGCCACGAGGTCTGCGAAGAGCTGTTCCCAGGAATACATTTTGATGACACGCATACCGGATATGATCTCAACCATATGTCGGAGCCGATTGTCGGTCAGCCCAGCCATCATTAATCTAGGTAATTTATATAATAATTGACAGGCAAATATTCTATTATGTAGTACAATATAAACACGCGCATACCTAACTTTTGAAAACATTTTGCCCATGAACAATTGAAATACAATAAGTAAAATAGTTAAACCAAATGGCACCAAACTTGTCCATCCCATGTATGTGTGCATTATATATATAGTGATGACCGCCTGAATGGGCGATATTATTAAAAAACTGGCGCTGAGTGCAAACTAAAATCAAATAACTATTGAGTTAGTGATGTGAACTAGGATGATTATTATATTAGATTAATTATTAAATCAGAGTAATTATATAACTTTACCTTATCGAATCGATTTGCATCGTTGGACATTAAGTTTATAATCTGACCCACAGTTGTCTTTCTCATTGATAACTGGCTCAATTTGAGTGACTAGTTTACCCATGATATAATTGTATTATACTGTACTGCAATTATAAACATATTTTTAACTTCAATTCAGAATGATAATTGAAATGTATATATTAATTTGGCAACCCCACACCTCCCTTATATGAGAAATAACATGGGATTGAATGTTAATCCTATGGAACATTCTTCATAACTTGAATAATGCTTTTTCCATAACAATGTATAATTAGTTATTAGAGTAACGTTAGTAACGATTCTATAAACCACATTCTTCATAAATGAATTGTGGTTAAAAATTTAAACATTTTGATGCACTTTCCGAATTGAAGTTAATTTGTTGCTTTTGCTTTGCAAACCTTAACCTTGTTAAATATAACTAAAGCAACCAAAATATGAATCATTTAATATGCAGACTAAATAAAAGCCATGAATTAGTAAAAAAAATCATAACATTTAGTATTTAACTCATGCTATAAAATGAACAAATAGTTGTAATAGTCATTATTGTGCTCAAAACTATGAAAAATGCTCCAAAAATGCTCCAAAACGGTTTGCCTAAATATAACGAACCTTATTGTACATTAGGGTACAGCAGGCACTACGAGCTCGCATCCCCAGTTGCATTAAACGTGCCAAGGTGGTGTGAATAAACATAATATATAATATGTGGCACAGACAAACACCCCCGGCCGCCATACAAGCATGGTCATAGCTTATAAAATCAGCACCAGCAAAATAATCAATAACATATCCGAGTAGTATAGGCTGTGCTATTCGGACCACACACTCCTATCAAAAATAAATATGTACATTTATTATTAGTGTGACCAGATGTACATTTTCCAACAGTGTACAAAATGAAAATATACATTTCTGTGTAGCCGTAATAATAGTGTAAAGCTTTATTTACTACATTCTAAATTTTGATTACTACAAGCTGCTTATAATGCAGCTTATAATTTTACTTACAAAAGTAAATTTAAATCATTAATAGTCTTTATCATTACTTATGAATTGTTTAACAAATAAAATATTAGTAAATTGAATGAAAATATATTGAAGTTATTTTAATTATAGTATTGTCACAATCCGAGTCAGTATTTTGACTAAACGGGGATCGCTATTATGCTGAACCGCTGTTACATATAGTGTATGAATACATAGGTATTTATATACTGTACATAAGAGTATACTGTAATAGGAATGGTGTCAGGTATACATCATGTGTACATCATAAATTTAGAATTAAAATAACTATTTAATTTTGTACAACTATTTTTGCTGTTTAATGTAGTTCTGTTGTGAATACAATTTTATGAACATAATATAATTTAATTGACATTTAATTATAGTGTTTATTCAATAATTTCATATTTTATTTTGATTATTTTTGCAACAAAAATTTTCTACATTTACTATATTTTATATTAGAATATTTTATGTTAATTCAGTGAAAACACTATTTAATTTTTATCTTAATAAATCTCCATTCAATTAATGTTATTTACTATACTTCCGATTAATTTCATAATTAGTAATTTAGGTTTCAAATTACATAGACCTATCATTTTAAGTACTAGAGTACTCATACAGTATGAGTTATATTTTAGTTAAGAGTACTATATTTACAGCAATTTGTGTTTTAATAAATAAGGCCTTAAATAAAAGTTTATTAAATAAATAAAAGTGTCAACACTTATGTGGTGTGCCGTCGGCTGAGTGTGGCCTATGGCCAGATTAATAGTGTCTATCCATTATATAAATTATAGCATAGTTTAAATTATTATTATAATTTAATATATTGTATAACTCACGAGTAATAACAGGAATATAAATGGCAAAATAAAATATTTGGCAAACGTTTTGTATAACGCAATATACAATCGTGGTGTTTTTTTCTTTAGTTCAATATTCCAATTTCTACATAAATATAATGTTATTTAAAACAATGGAATCATGATATATTTTCAAAAATGATAACATGCTAATTAAAAAGTGAAATAAATCATTTGTGTGCATACGGTATGCATACCTCTCTAAACATTCAACCAAATACTTGGAGGAGTCGTATTGTGAGCACCGAAACATATCCGCAAAATCTAAACGATTGTTTCGCATACCCTTCATAAATAGTGGATACATCCACCTAAAGTTCATAAAAGTATTATAAATATTTTATTAATTTAAATATGCAGTATATTTTTATGTAAATAATAAATATATTTAGATATAAGTTATATAACTTAATCACGAATTAAGACTTTATACACAATAAGACTACAATGTTTACAGTACTCACGAAAATATTGACTTTTGAATACAGTTTGAATTGTCCCATGGCGATTTTTTGGTGATTTTAGGGCCAACATTCATTATTTGCTTATAATTACACTTATTATATATTTTACTGCGAAACTGTGCCGTTACAGTCTATAGCCTTATGTTATTTTTAAATAATATTATTAAAATAATGTAATATATTTGTAACTCCAGGTCTCTCACCAATGAATGCCATAAAAATTATTTGTAATTTAATATTACTTTTGTGTGTAAATTAATGTAGTTATATGTGCTCTTAATTTATTTGCTGTATTTGCTATTTTATTTAAAAATAAATTATTATTTTATGCAAAATTTACAAATGTAACGTTAATGTATTTAACTTAAATTTGCACATTATATATAAAGTTATATTTACACAGTTTACAAATAAAATTATCATATTATATTATCAATATGTTATATTATCCGTATGAAATGTATGAGATAAAGCAATTATAGTGCAACCTGCTAATATTGCACTAATTGTACTAATCTTATTGAATATCAACTGAATTACAAATCATAACACATTTGAAATAAGAAATTAGTGCAATATTAACAGTTTGCACAATAATTGCTTTATCTTACATATGACAACTTTATTTGTAAAGTGTGTAAATATAACTTTATATAAAGTGTGTAATTCTAACAATTCGTAAGTTAAATACATTAACATTAATTGAAATTTATAACTGTTTAATATTATATAACTTTTAATACATAGTATTGTACCTTAATTGTACCTTAATCATTTCAGTAGAACAGTTACATATTACTGTATTATTGTATATTACTTTTGTAAATATGAGTGAATTAACCGCAAATAACTACCAAAAAGGTTTGAAATAATTTAATACAAATTATTATTAGATAACATTACTTACAAACAGTGTAAATGAGAATTATAATCATTTTTTATACAGTATTTATAATTAAATATATACTCTTTCTAATATATCATAATATACTTTACTTAACAACATGTGGTCAAACAGGTGACCATTTTCCAGCTCGTGCAGACCCCAATATATTGCGTGTGTATTACAATCAACCATGCCCATTCTCGGAAAGAGTGCGCTTGGTATTAACGGCCAAAGGCATAGAGTATGTATTTAAATATTTATTTTGACATTAATTTAAATTAATTAATTTCAATTTTCTACATTAATTATCAGACACGAGAAAATAGCGATTAAACTGCGGTCCAAACCCGAGTGGTTTCAATCGGTGAACCCTTCGGGCAAAATACCGGTCATTGAGTTCGGGGCCGACAATAGGCGGCTAACGGAGTCGCTGGTGATCGCCGACTATCTCGAAGCCGCCTTTCCGGACACTCGACGCTTACAACCGGACGATCCGTACGAGAGGGCCAACGATCGGGTGTTTATTGAGATACTTTTGGCGGCTATTTTCAAAATACCCTTCATATACACAGTCGAGAATTTGTCCGAAAACTGGTCACAAATAGCGGCCACTTTGAAACCAGTGGACATATTGGTGGCCGAACGGCGCGGCAATAATAAGTTTTTATCCGGTAATGTATTTCATAAAGATGCTTTAATATATACGACATTAACCATGTTTCTAAACTTATGTATATGTGTTTAATCATACGTTTATAATATGCAGGCGCGGGAAATGTGCCAAATCTGGTCGATTACGCCGTCTGGCCATTCATTAAAGCGGTGCCACAAATAGCAGACATCGCCGGCTATGACTCCGACGATTATCTGCGCCAAGAGTTGCCCGCAATTCACGATTACATGGGTTGCATGTCGAGTGACCCGACTGTATTGCAAGTGAGTGTGCCGTACGATCAACTGCTGGCCCATACCATAGAGTGGAGACAGCATTTGAAAAATAAATCAAAATCACAATAACTATTGATTGACTTATTGTTCACTGAATTGGAAAAAATAAGTGTTATAAAAATTTAATTTTACTTAAGTTTTGTTTTTAAACTATTGTTTTTAATACTGATATTTAATGTGAAAATTCAATTGACACGTATGTTATGAATGCCTCCCATTCCTTATCTACCCCTCTCCCGACCGAAACTAATTTGTTGTTTTGATAACTTTTTCTAACTACAAATCGTAGACATTGTCGGCGATAACAGGGTTTAAATGACTGGCCAAAGGGCTGGCCGTCGTATATGACAGAAAGTAGTCTTTGTAAATACAATCCGGAATCCGGTATTTTCCGGTTCCGGTACAGAAACAGGACCGGACCGGAAAATATTTTACCATTGTCGCAATGCATTATGCATTATACTGTCAGTACAGTGTGTTTGAACACTCAATCAAAACTATATTATAAATAGTATTTATAATTACATTAATTAACTTAATTTGTAAATATTTTTGACTGTCTTTAAACTAAATTAATTAATTGTGAATCAATTGAACAAAACTTTTTTCATCAATTGATAAAACAATTGAATCCATCGATGAAGACATGAATGAATGCAATGATTGGTTACCGAAGACAACGATTGCCGAGACTATCAATACATGTGTTGATTGTATGTAATGATTGTCACAAATATTTAAACTAAATTAACATTAATTTTCAATTCAATTAGAAATTAATTTCATTATTCAATGCATTCATCAAAACATCATTTCTGTACAAATGTTCAGTTAAACTGTAAGAACACACACAATGTGTGTTACAGTTTAATTACATGGAGTAAAACCCCCTCTAATGCCAATTCAATGGCAATACCCCTCTCACACACACTAACCCCCACTCAAGCGTATTGTTTATGTGAATCAAGTTTTGTATTGAAAACATGTGTTATTAATATTTTCATTGAATTTTCATTTCATTTAATGTTTTGTCATTTGATTTGAATTGTCTTCAGACGGAAGTGATTGAAGACAACGAGTGTTGTGTCCGACGAAGACATGGGTTCGCGAAGAAGTGATGTCTTGAATGACGATATCTTGGGATTGATTTGCAATGAATTAAATGTCAA